AATCTCATATTTATTAGAACAAATCTCTTTATGAAACCTTTATGTCTTATCTTGTTATCTTTTTGTGCAAAAATAAATATTAGATATCAAACCCAATGCCCGAAGAGCAAACATTTTTGATGCCAGCAATTTCAGCAAGTTAAACGGTACCTTTAAGTTACCCTCCAGACGCCCCGATGCGAGAGGTTACTTTAAAATACCCATTACTTTGACCCGCTGTTATTAGGGATTATTTCGACATGTTTTTTCTTTTATTTCTTCTTTATTTCCTTCTAAAAACGTACTGAATGACAAGGAAGAAGGAGGGCGAGAGAGTGAGAGATGGATAGGAGATCTTTGTACCCTTAACGAGATATCACGCTGTGTTGATCATGTGGGCTTTGGGATCGCTGAGATTCTCAAGATAGTGCCTGCGGATCTTGGGCAGCCTGATCCTAACCCTCGAGAAAACATACTCGCGTGGCCAAGCCTGATAGCTAGCTGACCAGACAAGCTCCATTCATTTCTATGAATGAAGAAGAGCCTGCCCTTTGGCTCTTACAACCTAAATTTTGTCCATCCCTGCTCTTATGATTATAAAAAAAGAATTCAAAGGTTTGTTTTAATTATTTTTTTAATGACATGATTGTGTCACACCACCTGTTGATGTTATAGTAAAGTTGGAAGCGAAGGGAAGGTAACGTTTTTTTTTTCATGAACATTTACACATTTTAGAATCAGACTTTATAGAATAGAAAAATTCATATAATTAAAATCATATTGCAGTGTGTATGTTTTTAATTGATTTTCATTTTTTAATCAACGCAACTCAGATCCAAGCGATCCGATGCTCTCGAGTTAAAAAACCTTGGAAATAGAGAACTTTATAGCAAGTAAGATGGGTTTTTCGCCAAATCTGGGAATGTTCATCTTTAAACAGGTAAAATTGTATTCTACTTACAGTCAACTATTCGAAAGGTGAACATGCAACAACCAAGATGCAATAACACATCTTGAAATCTAGTATAGTTATTCAATAAAAAATGATAATGTGACTAAAATGCTTTGAACGACTCAATCCACTGAATGGAGATTTTAAAAAAAAGATCAAAAAGTTCAAATACAATCACGCCGTCCTCATCTACCCCTTACCCCTTCCTCTCTCTCTCTCGCTCTATATCTCTCTACCTCTCCCCCTCTCTCACTCTCGCTCCATCTCTCCCTCTCTCTCTCTCTCTCTCTCTCCCCCTGTTTTTCTTTCTCACTCTCACCCCTCTCCATCATCATGATCATGCCCTACAACTATCTTCATTTCCATTTATTAGTCTCTTTTTACAAATTTCTTTCTCCTCTTTCCATCTTCCCCACCCCTCACTCTCCCTCACTCTCTTCATGCTCTCTTCCTGCATGCCCTCTTTTCATTTCTTGGCCACACGTATTCTTGGATATTACGCCACTTAAACGAACCTATGGCTGACGTTTTACTTCCAATTGATATCTTAACAAAGAGATTCTTAAGGAGAATGCGTAGAAGAAAAGCAATCCTGCGGTATTCAGACACTCAATGCTCAAGATCTCTTTAGAACAATGGAGACCCATCGTTTTAAGAGAAGGCGTTTCCGAAGTACGAATCAACTGCTTGTGAAGAGGGATGTAATAAATCAAATGTTGAGTACGATACAAGGTTTATAACTTCATATTCCTTTCACAAAAGTCCTTCCCCTCCCTGAAGAGGGCAGAACGAGTATTCATTTACGTAATCAGTGACGCAAGCATATATTCTTGTCATTTTATCGCTCGCATTTCTAGCATGATTCATTATCTCTCTATATAAGAAGGTTTGGCTTCATTTATTTCTTTATGATATTCTGTGTGTTTGACATCATTTGATCTGATTGTGTCTCTTTGAAGTGTTCTTAGAATCCGATGACACCGCTGGTTACGTTGGTCACATCATCTCCTAAAATAGTGGGTGGGGGAGGGGGAGGGGGGAATCAGTACTACTCCTCGTCATTTAGTGTCCATGAAAATACAAGTCAGCTGACATCCAACAAATACGGTTGCTAAGAAAAGATTTACGGAGTAAAGGGGTTAGTAGAATCCTATTGAAATGATTTATTCATTTTCTTATTTTTGTTTTTGTAATTCATTTTTTATTATCGTGTTCTGGATGTGATGGCCAGGGATGTGAAGCCCTGACCATGAAAATAGGATGCCATGCAAAAAGAATGGAAACTCTATAAGATACCCCCAACCAACATCAAATTATCTAGAAAAGAATACTGCAAAACAAGTCAACAAGGCTTGTAAAAAGAATGGATTTGAAGAGCTTATCGGGATTCGCGCCTTCTTCCTTGTAATACTAGTTCTTTAATTATAATTATGTTGTTTGAACAGATGTCAGATATGTTGTCAAATTGAATGGAAGAAAATAGATGTTCATTTGAATTGAATTGAATTGAATAAAAGAAATCTTATCTTAAAAGGGATTGCTTTGTATCTTATTTGTAAGTGACTATCTCTTCTCTTCAAGTGACTGCCATCGTCTTTTTATGCTTGCACTATATAAATTTGTTTTTAAAGACATTCTCAGTCTTCATCTTAAATGAGGGGTTTTTAATTAATTTTAGTGAAAGAAATATCTTGAATTTTAAATAGATCCATCTGAAATATTGCTTGATGAAAATAAAAAAAACAAAACATTATCAGTTTCAAAGTAGAAGCGTTGACCTATAATTCACTTTTAAAGAACAATCTACTTCTTCTGTTCTTGTTTTAGTGCGTTTCATAATGCATCTGCTTGTATATAGAGAATGCACAAACCACTTATTCCCCCCCCCCCCCCCAAAAAAAAAAAAATCCCCCACCTCTCTCTCTCTCTCTCTCTCTCTCTCTCTGTATATCCATCTCTCTCCCTCTCTCTTTCTATCTCCTTCTTTCTCTATCTCTCTCTCTATCTCTCTTTCAAATTCTCGTCGACTCATTACATGACCATTGCATCAATTTATGGGTAGAAAGCAGAATAAACCATACCAAACACGTGTGTTTCTTATATTGGCAATAATTATTTAGAAGTTTTATTTTCAACACAATAATGTTGATACTGTCCATCGCATACATCTTTGTACAATGTCAAGAATCATTTTTACAGCAACAATAATATCTAACAAGATTTATTGTATCCTTCTTGTGATATCGTTACAACTAGGTGCATAAAATGTCCAAGATAACATAAATAATCATATCTTACCTAGGCGGCAATTTGCTTATTAAAATCAATCACAATGATCGATTGCCATGGTAATATTTCTTCTAAGCATAACAAAAATGGCGAATCCCGCCTTTTGGCATTCTTTAACAAATTGCACTAAAAACCATGACATATTCATTTAATATTCATTTTTCACGGCCATGAATATCATGACTCATGAACATAACTTTATGCATGGGGCCATAACTCATGATTACATAGCTAGGGGAAACATGATCGAAGATGTGGAATTTAAAGAATGGTGTATTTTAAGTTCAGAACCCGAGTTGTTTAAAACTATAATACGCCTCACCAATACCCTCAACCTAGGGTTTGAAACACCTGTTAATCGGGACGTTGAATGTCATTTTAGATGCCATTGAATCTTAGGTTTGTATACAAAGAAAATATTCCGTAGAAATCCACTGCTACAGAATGCAATGCATGGAATCCTACATTGCCAAGCATACAGCAGACGACACAGAAAATGGCGCCAAAAATAAGACATCTGCGTGTAAAATGTCGCTGCATTGGACAGAGACTTGACACGCGGTTTCAACTCGCCCATCAACGTCTGAAAGGTTGGGATAGCAAGTCATCTCAGTTCGGGATGTTTACAAATCTCGTTCTAATAGGGTTAGGAGTTCTTCCATGTGGGATAAACGACGCCATTGTCTTGGAACAAGAGGGCAGGCACAAATCGGAGGTGAGTGGTGAACCAGACAAGAGATTAGTTTCTTTCTTTCATTCGTGATTTATTTGATTTATAGAAAATGTGGAGGTTAATGCCTTGGCTTTGAGTTATCTACCTTTCAATCACCACTGCATTGTGGTATTTAAATCACATGTTTACTGTTTCAAGAACATTTTTCACATTCATATAAGCAAAAAGAATGTTTGAAATATTACGTAACCCAATTGCGATGTATCTTAACATGGAATACCAAATACACCCGGTATTATACTTGTACAACCTGTAGATCCATGAAAAATGAGTTCTTATATTTTAAAAAAGGTAGATTACTATAACAAGAAAGAAGCTCCTAAATATTAGTCATCGTTAGCAGTATTTCCATCTAAAGATAACGTTTTGCTCTTCTGTAGAAAATCTTCTAATATGAAATAGACGATATTTAAAAGTTTGTATTACTCAGTACATATTTACGGGTAAGACATTGAATTAGACAAAAATAAACTGACATGAACTCTTTTAAATGCAATAAATATAGGGAGATATTGACACCCTCGAAGGGAAGGTATTTTCAAGAAAAAACAAGTCTGCATATATTTTGCGACATCTTTAAAGAATATCTTCATAATTAAAAAAAAATTCAGCTTCCATTTTGTTCCTGAGACCCATGTCCCATCACACGTATGGTGACTTTATACTTGTCAATGTTTAGTGTATTTTCAATTAAACACCGAAACAAAGAGAAAGAAGAATAAGAAATACAACCCTATAAGTGTTGATATCTGTAAGTACTAGTAGTCAGACAAAGTATCGTATTGTAAAACACCCTTTTCATGATAATCGGATGGCGAGTCCAGCATCCAAAATCGTTGGAACGATCTTAAATCAATTTAATTTATTTTATCCAATAATGGCAAAACATAGATCAACAATGAAATGGAGTAGAAGTAAATTAGCTAAAATGCTAATGATCTTAGTTTTTTGCTAAGACCTTATTTTAGCACCTTCTACATCATTACATACGTTACAATTCGAACAGAGATTGATTTTAATAGTTTCATTGTTGTAAACTGCTATGTATTTTGTTTCAAAAGTAACACTTATGGAAATAGTAGACTAAGCAAATGAATAATTGCTTACTCATTTTAGGGCTGGCATCATGTGCCAGAGATTAATGATAATCTTTTCAAATCATTGAAAAGTGACCGACTCTACAAACTATTCTATGCATTCTGGCAATTGGATTCTTAATGCATAATTCGTAAAGCGTGATAATCTCATTCAATACAAAAAAAATGCGATGAAAATGGCGTGGTGGTAAATGATAAAAACTTAAAACGGGCAAGATATGACTAAATTACACGATCGACCGCTGGAGCGGGAGAGAGAAGAAATGGATGAGGAGGGGGGCACATGATATCCCCTCTTTCCTTTCTTCCCTCGGTCTCTTCCCTCGGTCTCTTCCCTCTTACCATGTCAATAGGAGACAATCATGACAAAAATAACAGGCTTATAGCCCACTTCTAGCAGCTTGATAGAGACACAAGCAGCTTACGAACACACAGCAAAGAGAGCGTGAATATTTATAATATTCATCAGGGGGTTGGCTAGAGTTGAGATGAAGGGGTGGGTAACAGTAGAACCAGATTGCCCGTGGGTGGGGGACTTCATGAATATTAATTAAAAGTGATCGTCGATTTAATACTAGGATGGTGGGATCTTTCTTCTGCCCGCTGAGATAACAAGTAAACGTAAATTACGTGTGTTTTCGGCAGTATGTTGTCCTTTTCAAAAGAAACGGTGACATATGAAATATATACCATCAATCTAAGACGAATCTATAATTTTTTATAGATATAGCGATTGTCGACATAAAACTACGATGCGGGTTTGTACCCCTGCATACTACAGCTCTCGATGAAAACATGAAGAAAAATAGTTTCTTTTAACTTTGATGAGTTGCATGATGATTGTAATTACAGAGAATTCACCATAGATTGTCCCGGCGTTTTTCTTTTCGCAATAGTCATCTATTGGAATATAAAATGTTGTCTATCCTATGTACATACATGTAGCTGTCACAGCTTCACGCCTCTCCGTTTGGCTTGTACTGTGGATTTCAGTTCGTTCGATCTCGTTTGATCTTTGTCTCTTTGTTACGTAGTGGTACGTAAACCATTCGGAGAGGAACGGGTTTAATAAATGTTCTTTCCACTGATGATTGCAAGACATTCAGCGATGGTTTATAAGTCATCGTCATCGTCATCGTCGTGGTAGCCCGCCGGAGACGGGGAATCGAGCGGCGGCGAGTCGGCCAATGATCGCGGCGAAGGGCTGTGATCGTCAGGGTGAGGGCTGAGTAAGCACGTTGCTCCCTCGGTTAGCGACGGGGAGTGAGCCGAGTTCGATACGCTCGAGTTCTGCAGGGCCTGCTGCTGCTGTTGTTGCATTCTGTAGATTCGAGAAAGAAAAAGAAAAGAAAATGTTTCGTTAGTGAAAACCAATGACATTTGAATAAATCGAAAGGATAATGTATGGATTGATCCGCTCCATTTGAACACAGGAATCAGTAATAAAGATTATGTAAAAATCTGCTACCTTGTAATACTTAGAGAATGAAAAAAAGCCCCCTTTTTTCACATTTCTTGTAACTCCCTCGTTTTCATTTTGACTACATTTTTTTAAAATTCGCATTCTCTGGCCTCGATCTGTCTGTCTGCTATTCAAAAATGGATTGATCAGCGTTTCGTATGAATTTAGTTTGAAGAAATTTGATTCATTTGACTCTATGAGCAGAATATGCTCGCGAAAGGTTACATGTTACAAATTTACAATGATGGAAAAAATTGAAGACATCAAAAGTATTCATTGATTTGAGAATTCTTCATTCATTTACAGATGGATATTCACTACGGACAGAATTATATATTCATGGACTTTGATAAATATCAATCAAGTTTTGATATATCAAAAAATTGCACACAAATGCAAATATTGGCTAGAATAGCAGATATATAAGTCATGCCTTATATACACTAGCAACAAAGTAACAAAGAGGGATTCACATCCGGTCTTACAACAGTGTATCTAAAATTATTGAATATGTCAGAAAGAAAAGTAAAACATTGTCAATAATAATGTAATTGTGAGCTATGTTTTTCAGCAGACTTAATTATGAAAAACTGAATGATGGACGATTTCCATTCTTTTCTGACAGATTGTGTTTTTTCCCCTTTCCCTGTAGTGTTAGATATTTTGCATATATCCAGTTTGCTTTTAATCTCACTCAAATGCAATGTCACGTCTGAGATACGTGTACTAAACAGAAATTATATTTAGATTGATTACCTTCTGACGTCACGTAAAAGAAATAAATCGTTTACCACACAATTCAAACGTTTTTATCAAATTAAAATTTCGATATTGCGCTAATCCGCGATGGAAATGGGAGTTTGGGGTTTCAATATTCTCTATGATTCTCCTTATCTCACTACGAATATTATGTTTTTTTAATTCTGCGATTAGGAAATTGAATAATGATATCTCTCTACAAGCTAAAAAGACAATTTTGAAATGAGTACCTCACAAATTAATTTAGCAATATATCACAATTAAACCTCAGCAGCGGAAGCTGATAATGCTCTTGAATACAACGAAAAGAATAGCTAGGAATCATAAAAGGTGATATATATCATCACCACCCTTTCCGGATAGTTGTCTGTCATTTGTATCGATCCATTATATTCTCTTTCTCTCTTTCTTTTCTTTGTTTTTTTATTAACCACGCAGAATTAACCAACCACCTTTTCTTTCGTCATTTTTTTTTTCTCTCTCTTTATCTCTCTCTCTCTCTCTCTCTCTCTTTCTCTCTCTCTCTCTATCACCTTCTCTTTTCAATTGATACGTCAGACAATGAATTTAAGCAGTCAATCACACCAGCTCGCCACCATTTCTAATGAGTTGAATGTTATTTCGAAGGGGAGTGCGGTTTGGGTTCTATTGTCAGGCACTTTGAGGCAATTTCTGTACATCGCTACTTGAGTTTTATTATTGTTTGCCCTCTGTTTCCGCTGTACCAGTTGATATATGTTAGCTTTTCGTACTCACACACCTTACAATAATACGCTTTTGATATTACTGAAGTGGTGAGGTGGGCAATTTGTCGCATATCTGCTCGCTTTTTGCTTCAATGGGAAGGGCCCAAAGATTGATGGCCGATTGTTGGGGCACGATTCTCGCTCCACTTGATTTCTTTTGAATGCCAAGTTGAAGTACGTTGGTAGAAGGGTGGAGAGAAAAAGAGAAGGAAAATAGAAAGAGAGAAAGAGAGAAGAGGGTAAAAAAAACCACGCGGAGATTAATCGAATGTTTACACGTGTGTATGCAAATAAGAGGTGTAGATTTGATAGACAGGTGAGGCCATTATTCACCTGCCGGGGATCTAATGACAAAAACCAAACAAAAATGTGTCGGGTCGCCGAGTATTCGTTTCTCCCTGGCGGGATGTACGACAAAACACGTAGTCAAGTGTGAGTAACTCCTTGTTTCTTATAAGAGCGCGTCTAGCTCCCATTTGCCTCTTGGACCCCCTTAACGATCACCGTGGTCCCGGGCTAGGCAATTGGTTACACCAGGCGCTGGCTGGAACAATTGCGGGTGAGTTTTGTCAAGAAACATAAATTTGGGCAATTTGATGGTATGCATCCTTTGAGACAGAGGGCGTCGACCCCGGTATGAAAAGAAACTTGCTCTGTGGCTACCCCCAATCCCTATGATAAACAGGAAACATTGGGTAGGTCTGAATGGATTGTGCAGAGCTTCACTCCCGGTTGATAGGTTAGCGAGTAAACACAAGACTCCTGTGGGGGTTTACACAAGCTCCTCCGTGCTCCCCATGTGACCCCACCCTCCTGGCTAAACCAAAACTTACAAAATCCTGCCTCCCCCTAAATGAGCAACCCTGCACAAAGCTGGAAATCAAACAGCGGGGTCTTTTCTCCAAATTCTCCTCAGCTACCACCAAGAACCTCAACTACCCCAGACAGGGTCCTTTCCTTTCTCCACAGGGACAGCCCTGCCTCCAAAAAGAAGACCAAGAACTTGGAACTGAATAGAGGGGGGTCCTCGCTCCGTTTTAAATTCTCTTTCTTACCCTCTCAATGTTCAGCAAATACTCTAGGTCATAGCACTTGCGTATTTCACAAGAAATTAGAACACGCTTACAAAACAGCCCGTGAAATATTGACATACGACTGATTTCGTTGAGTAAAGTCACAACGGCCATCAAGCCACCAACACCTTTATACATCACAAAGAAATAGGCATATTACTATCGTGTATAAAGAGTGCCTCGGGGGAAACGAATGGGAGAGAATAACGACTAAAACACATATTTGATAACCGTCTTTGAAATTGAAAGAACCGATTGATATCGTTAATTTTGTCCCATTCTCGTACCGTCTGTAGAGACTTCAACCTTTCTTTACCTCAAACGTCAAAAAGAGCAACGCTGCGTCTGGTGCCAGAATAAAAAGTGATCTTTTCTCTGTAACGTCCAACAAAATGGGGATGATGAACAAAGGGTGTGGCCGATATGTTGACACGTTAATAGAGAGCGGGCATTACCCCATTTTGTGGGAGATCCAGTTCGGCGACGACCGATATGAACTGAATTTAAAAGCAAATATATGAATACTTAACGCAGTGATTAGTTCTTTTATGTGCTCTACCCCTTCTCGTCCCCATTATTTGACGTGACTTGACCTTATTAACTGGGGTTCGTTCCTTCTACCCCGATGGTTGATCAAACTTAACCTACTTTTAATGGATTTATGCAATACCCCAGAAAATCAGGTACCAATCGTATCATGGGGAGGGGGTATCGCAGTTTCCTACTTTTATGATGGTGACTGTTGGTAGAATAGACCTGAATAAATGGTTTACATGTATGAAAATATGAACAAAGAAAGTGTACTTTTGCCTGCATTTGAACGTGTCCCTGTGGTTAACCATCTAACACTTTTATGAAAAGACGATTTCCAGTATGCGCCATTTCTATCATATACTGTACGAAAAGCCTCTTATTATTTCGTCACACTCGAGTTGCCAATCCTATCTTTTGTAACAAATACAGCTAAGAAAATAATTTGGATATGATATTTAGAAAGGTTTTTTTTAAGGGGGGTTTACATTAACAATGATTTTCGAAATCAAAAGAATGAAGTGTCAGTCATACGGGTTGACGAGTTGACGAATTATTAGTCATTTATTTTCATTCATGCGTATTGGGTTTTCCCCTTACTCATTCATTGAACATGAGACTTGAGTATAGACTAATGACTATACCATCTTAGTCATATATATGATATCGAAGGACATGGTGGGATGAAATAGTTTAATTATAGAACAAAGTGAGCTGAAATTCTGCTCATTTAGACGAGAAAGGCACAGTAGGCTGGGAAAAACAGCAATACGAGTAGCAGTGTTTCACCAACTAGATTGTGATTAAAGTCACGTCCAAATGAGGTAAAATTCTTGCGAAATGGATGATACGAAGAGCGTGACTAGTAAACTGGAGTAGTAATATCTGATTTTTCTTCATGACAAGCTTCTGACACATTTCGCTCTGATTCGATTAATCCCAAATATTGTTTTTCAGTTTCAAGTCGGATATCTACGCAGAGAAATGATATCGAATCTTGACAAATGCGACTTTTCTCTGCTTGTCATGAAATCAATCTAGACAGATTTTATACATGTAGTGTCTTTAGCGCTGTTTGAAATAATACGCGTATGGGATAAATAAGGAGGAGGATAAGATAGGATAGGAGGGCGAGGATGAGATGGAGATGAAGTGAGCAGGAGGTTGAGAAGGAGGATGAGGATGGCGAGATTGAAATCAGGTGTTATGATGCGCGCTGTGCAAGTGTGCCGCGGCAAATAATTTGGTCATTTGCGGCTTGGGAGTAGATCTAGATTACACGGCTGGTTATCTAGAACGTGATAGCCGGGTCACCCCGGACCAAGTTTCACTGATCACCGATCATGACGGCGCAAGAAGGCTTCAACAAGACGATCCCTCTGCTACAGCCTTAGCGAGCTTGATCCCGTAAAGAACATGCATCTTATCAAATAATCAGAAATAATACCAGAAAATATCAATTTCACTGTGGCTCTTCGTGCATGCTGTGATTGGTTATGGGGGCAGGCGTAGTTGAGAGAGAGGGTGAAAAATATGGAGGGCAAAAATGAGCGAAATGTGAAATAAAAAGCGAAATCTAGTATTGTTGAACTAGGTCAGTCCTTTTGCGTTTAGATCAGTTATTTGCATAGCCTCGTTGCATACGATAAAGATCATGATTAGAGATGAATTGAGACGCGGAAAAGAGGGACATGTCAGTTTGATATCGATATGAACTTGCGATATGTCGCACCCAACTTCTATGTCTGTC